CTTTAGGAGCCAGTGGTCAAAGACAAGGATGACGGGAGGTCCAGGGTATAAATGAGGTAGGCTCCAGTGGGTATAGGGGAAAGTAGTGCAGAGGTGGGGGAAAGGAAAGAGAGTCCAAGGGGATAGGTTGGGTGGAACATTGCACCAACTGAGAGCCAATGGGGATACAAGGAAGGGAGAATATTCTAGGAATTGGGAGTGGTGACAATTAACTGGGAAATGAAGGTTAGGAATATGTATGAGGTATTAACAGGGCAATCCCATAACACTTTGGAACTTTTTTTTCTGGGGTCACCACAACTTAAACAAATGCCTTCCAAGGTTTAGGGTTGGGATACAAGTCTGTGTCAGTGATGGCTGTCTGTCCTGGAACACTGGTTAAGCTGACTGCCACACAGGCCAGCCTGAGCCTTGGGGACAGCCTTGCCCTGAGGTGTGCCCTTGGTGTGTGCCACATGTCACCCCCAGCCTGAGCACTGCCCCTAGCCCACGGTGCCAGGGAGTGCTGCTGGGCAGGGAGCTCCTGGGGCACATCCCCACGTGTACATTGCTTCCAGGCACTGGGAAGTGGTCCCAGGCTGAGGACACAGATATAACCTGATCGTTTGGTTTGCCTTTGCTCTGGAGAGTGGCAGTACATGCTCGGTGTCTCAAATACAGCTTTCCTCTGATGTGATTTCCCATCACGGCTCGTGCTGCTGTTTGTGTCTTTCATCTTTCCTGAATCTGGTAATTGAAACCATAAGAAATGAGATTTGCTCAGAACAACTGAAATGGTTACATGAAAAACTGATTTTTTTTGTGAGCAGTTTCAAAACACTCCGTCTTCTAAAAACTTCTTCTATATTATGTTGAAAAAAAAAATCAAAATATCATCTCTGGCTTTCTTACAAATTAAAGAGCATTATTGGCTTTTTTGATTCAGCTGGAAATAATTTCTGTTTATTTGGCTAAATACCCAACTTAGATAAGTGGGTATTTTTAACAAAATAATTAATATAGGTAGTGAACCATAGGAAAAGATTCTGGCTAAAGACCTAAGCATTGATTTAACAGATTTTAAAATTTAAAAAAACCCACTAGCATGAGTGAAATAAATTATAAAACACTTGAATATCATTTTCTGAGGATGTCCCAAAATGGATGCCCTCTGTGCATTGAAAGGATTATCATAGACAAGAGGTTAGATGATATAATTCAAGAAGTTTGAAAAAATATGTTGGCTAGGCTGAGTAGTCATCTCTGGACTGAAATGCCAATAAAATTTGTTAGCATTCACCCTTCCCTGAAAAGGCTTAAATAGATGAAATCAGCTTTTGTTTAGGAGCAATCAGTCTCAACCTGCTCTGTATGGCCCTGCCAGTGCTCTTTGTAGAAGCATTTGTGCTGAGCAACCAAACCACGTTTTATTCAGAAGAGTCATTAAAAATCTCTCATTCTTTCGGTTCAGCACCATCCAACAAGTGTAGGTACTTTCTTCAACATTGAATTTAATACAGTAAGGATTTTACATTAGTTGAGCTGAAAAATCCCAGACATTTTTGTAGACGGTAATGTCTTCCATGTATCTAAATTAAAATCATTTAAACAAATGGATTCTCTATTTAATGTAGCATTAGTTCCAAAAAAGCACATGACACAGGGATTAGTATTCAGTGGACTTCTTATTTTATTGTATAAAAGTAATTACCTTTTAAATACTATCCAAATTAACATTTTAATATTCCTCTAGGCTTATACATTTTAAAAGCATAATGTAACTCTGTACCTAATACAGAAGAGCCCTATTTTCTTTTCTGCTAAATTAGCCTGCTGTATAAATTTGAATAATCTGCAATGAAGTGGCAGCAGTTCTTTTTATTACACATAAGACTCATATTACAACAAAAGATACTCAGGTTTTCAGCACAGGCCACTTAGAACATGAAGAGCTAAATTTCAGTATATTTGTATTTCTTGGTAAGCTATTTGGGGAAAAGAATCTCTTATGTTACCCATCTTTATGTTTTACTAGACCTTGTCAAGGTAAAATATATGACTAAAATGGAGTTCCATCTCAATCTTCTGGTGAATTTTGAATATTAAAAGTTCCAGCTGTCTGAAATAATACATAGAATTCACTTTATCCACTAAAATTGAGACCGACTGTTTAAATAGTATATGTACATATGGGTTTTGTGCTTTCATATAACTTTTCTCTCAGTGTATACTGTGATAATGAGAAAAACTTTCTTCTTTTATCACTGAATTTATTTTTTGCTCAGGTCTGCAGCAAATTAATCACTTTGTCATGTTGATAAAGCTACATAATTAGTAAGAACTTTACAGCAGAATCAAGGGGACAGCTAGGAAAAGGCTTTAAGTTTGTAGAATAAAAGATTAATCTGGAAAAAAACAGAAGATAAGGGAAGTGCAGGAGAGATATAATAAAGGTATAGTAGTCTCATCCACTAAATATCTGTGGTCTGTTCACCACAAGAGTATGTGGGGAAACAACAGGATCAGGTGGGCAGTGAAAGATCAAGGGGTGGGCAATTTTTTAAAGTCATTTATTTTATTAAATGACAATGGTAACTGATAAATGCAATGGTAACTACTACAAGGCAGACCTGTGAAAAAGCAAACTGCTCACTGCCACATTCCAGAGCAGGTTTTGGTGACAGAGGCATCCTCTGCAGATCCAGAACGGCGGCTCTGAGCCTTGTTCCTGGCATCATCCACTCTGCTGCCATTCTATCCACAGCCTGGGGACTGGATTATCTCAGTGTGAGGCAGGTCCTTGTGCTGTGGCTGCAGGAGCTGCTGAAAGCTCCACTCCTTCTCCCAGCAGGCTGTCTCATCTCCTGACCTCCTCTGATCATCTCTATTTCTTTCCTAGTCCTCTAAAAGACTGTGTGCATTATTTGGTGGTATTGGGCATGCCTTACCTGGGGGCACTCTCCTAGCTGCTGTGTGGGTTTGTGAGTGGTTTGAGAGGTGACAGACCTGAGTTACAGCAGGAAAAACAGTGAGCTTCATCTCATATGGCAAAGTATCAGGATTGTGTAGTTCCTGATGTTCTTTGTGTTTATGTGTCTGAAAATTCCTGGGTGAAAAACTTTTCATGGAAAAACAGGTAGAGCTGCAACTTTATAGGTCTGTGATGTCACAACCTGTCCTAAAATATCCTCATCATTTCTATGAGATTCTGGGAATGCAATAGGTAGTAAAATAAACCAATGTTTATCAGGTAATAATAAATTCACTACCTTCTTTCCATGAGGCAGTACCACCCTAAAATGCATAAGTGTGTGTTATATCTGTATATAGATATATCTGCCTAGGATTGTAGCTCCCTAGCACCTAAAAGCTCTTTCTGACTCTTTTGCCCTCTATTAAGTTTCTCTTGAAATACACACTTTCCCTTAAGCTTAAAATAGTGACATTAAAAACCCCATACATTTTCAAAGAAAATTTTTACTGGTAGCTATTTTTTATTTGTGTGTTTTTATTTATCCTTTAAAATATTCATATAAAGTATAATTTTTCCATTTCACTTCAAGTTAAGGTTTTGACACTGCATCATGAACAAGGAAAATGGCAGTGTAATTCATCAAAGTAAAATTGTTTCATTGCCTTTGTGAAATGGGCATGCAACTGAGACCATAAAGCTTGAAAATGAGTTTCAGAGTATGGCCACTGCCCTTCATTTTAAGGCGTGGGTTGTTTTTTTAAAAAGTAAACCCCTCCCCCCCTTTCTTTTCTTTTTTATTGTTACACTTATGAACCTATCATCTCCCTTCCTCACTAGGTTCAGTTATAATATTGTCTGCCAATGGAGTTTTGCCTTCTGCTGAGTTCCTCTGAATGTGATTTCATAGCATGCAACCAGAGCTGCTCCACTGGCCATTGACAATAACTGTCCTGTTTCCTCTTAAATACTTCAGGCTTACCAAGTAAAAAGCATTTCTGTATTATTCCCTTTGGAAAAGAAAATAAACTGCAAGACTCATTTTGTTTCAGATGCAGAGTTCACAGTGAGTAGTTTTATCAGTAAAATGCTGAAATGAGCCTTGCTGAGCTAGTGAAATGAAAATCTGCCACTCTGGGGCTCTCATGTAACCACAGGAGTATCTTGGGTGTCAGGATCGTGTGTAGAAGAAGGATTAGGCTCTCTGTTCTAGGTTTTACATAGACTCAACATGCATTTGATTTGCTTCCCATGCTGATCCCTTGCCAATAAGAAATTAATTGGCCTGTTCTGCTATGTCTGACTCCTTATTTAGGCAGCTATGGTGAAATTATATATTTATTTAAACAAAGGAAATTGAAGCCCCAATGGTAAATGTAGCCACTGGATGATTTACCAACAGCATTTTGGTTAAACTGCAAGTAGGGGATTAGGTTATCACAAATCCCACGGCTGTGGAAATAAGGCAAGTGCTCATCGAGGTGTACCTTTAAAAATAACAGACTTTGGGAATGGGACATGCTTCTGCATTGTGCATTGTATAACCCTGCACCGTTTAGAAACTCTAAAAGGAAATGAATATGAAAAGCTTAAAAAAAAAGTTGAAAGCTAGGAACAATGTCTTGAATCAAGTTTCCCTGGAAAAAATGGTCATTTATACTCACCTATTTAGTTTTTGTCAAGTCAAAGGGATCTGTTTTAATTATAACAAACCATTGGCAGAAATAACACTTCTCAAACATATTAAAAAAAAAATCTCTTTCTAACTAGAAGTAAATAAGACAAAAAGTAAAGTGCTGCAGAAATTCTCCAGCCTTTTATACGTAATTGAGTTGAAATTACATAAATGTATAATTTGGCAGGTCATGAAAATTACATTAAAGCAAAGCAATCATATTTGTAAATTAGCTATGGTGTAATACATGTGCATTCTAATTTTTTCCCTTAACTTTCGTCCCTGTGTAAATGAAAGCAGCCTTTTACAAAATTCTGGGAGAACCAACCACATGTATTTTAACAAGTAACAGACATTTACTTAATACAACAGAAATCTTTAACAAAAATTGGTCTTTTATTGTTGTCATTCTCAATCCCACTGCAGGTGTACAGCATCTCTTGAACACAAGCTCTGAAAGCATCCACAGAGACAGCATTTGCCTGGAAACCTCTTTTTTTTTTTTTAGTACAGCAAAATACATTCAGTATCACTGACAATCCCTGAATATGAATACCAGTGTTAGGATCCACAAGCATGGTAAACATACAAATGTTCTTCTACATAGTTTAATGTGCTGGGAACCTGTACAATGCTTTATCTTTGAGTTTCAGTGGCATTCTCCCCACCCCACAAACTTATTGCTGAAATAATTTGGCTTTCTCAGGCAGAAAACTATTTTCATTTGTATGTAACAGCATTTTCCTCCATAACAAACAAGATGTGAGTACTTCCAATAGAAATACATTTAATGTAAAGTATTGAGCTCATGGAATATTTTTAGCACATTCCCATCAAAGGAAGATGAAGTACATTTCATAAATCTATCCAGTTCTTCGGAAGCCAACTCTTCATTTTTCTTCTTCCTGTTCTGGCTTCACTTTTTCTGGCTGCTTTGAAGCACATTTGGTCATGACTCTTTTTCCCTGGAGAAATCAGGACTTCTCCTGTTTTTAAAAAAGGGAATGAATTAGATGAGAAATATCCTGGAGCAACTAAAAAGCTCTGACCAAAATACCACTGAAATAAATGGAAACATTTCTCAAGAGGCAATTAGATCATGTCTATTGAGATAATTCTCTAAAATCCCATACAAATGAGGAAGCTGGGGGAAAGTGGAGCATTCTGGGGGCTTTCAGTCCTTTGTACTCAACATATTTCAGGTTGCTGTGAGAACTGAGGGAGCTGTCAGTCTGTTTTACACAATTCAGTGGCAAAAGCCCGAAATTCATTAAATATAGGTGACTTTATTGATAGCCCTGCATTTGGCCCAGCCCTGCATCCTCTGGTGGCAGCACAAAGCTCCAGTGCCACTGCTCATGGAGACCTCATGAGAGAGATGCAGAGAAAGGAGCCAGGGCAATAATGAAGACTTCTTCCTTGCTTTCATAAAATAGTTTATAGACAAATTACTGCAAAATCTTTGCATGGAATGTACAAATCCTGCCTCTCTCCTCAAGCTGGGTGAAGGGAGGGACCACTCTTGTACAGCACCATTACAGGGCAGGGTTCAGGGCATCCCTCTCCAGTCTCGCAGCAAGGCACTGTTGTGTCTTTTACAGTCTCCCTGTTGGAACCATGGAATTATTCATATTTCTAATTGTATCAGGAGCAGGCATTTTTACAGACAAACCTGCATTCTCACTTCTTTCAAATATTTTATTACATGAAAACACATCCTGGTAATTATATCCAAATTCAAAACTAGATAGAAAGGAAAGATAAATATGTTTTAAATTCTATGTTTTAGGCAATTGTAGATTTTCGTTTAAAGCCAGAATAAAATTCTGGATTTTATATCATTTGCCCTAGAGAATGTTGTTTTTCTCTTTTCTGGGCTGAAAGGAGATTATTTCAGAAAGAGCATACTAATATTAAAAAAATATATTGTTATTTTGCAGCATTAACTTTATGTGCCTAATTGAACTTCTGATTTTTTTTCTTGTAATGACAAGTGAAAGGACCTCAGCATGATTTTCACTTGCTGCGTTTACTGCTTTCTTTGAATACAGAAATAGAATTTATGGATTTTTCAGCTTTTGCAACTATTGTTGGGAAGTAAATGTTCATTTAATTTGCCTGATTTTGTATTTCCCTTGCAATTACCTTCAGGATGGTAAATTTGACTGAGGAATCTCTGTTGTTTTAACACAGACCTGGTTAGTTTAGCCAAAGATGTCAAGTTTTCTGAGGCAATAATGAGTTTTTTCCAGATGCATTCTTTTATATTTTCCATGCTTTAAAAAGATTTTTCGAAAGGGCTGTACTAAGTATACTTCAGTGGCTTGCTTTCTCTTGTCTTACAAAAGGTAAAAATAATTATACTGTAAACACAATTTTCTGGAACTAGCAAGACCACACAACTACAGAATTAACGAAATTTCGTTGGTTTTAACTGAGTAGACAGAAAACTAAAGGCAAAATATTTATTCAGTCTGGTATGTTGGGTTATAAAACTGTATGTTGTCTTCTGGAAACTTTGATAGATTTGTATGCATTTTTTTTCTGAAGTAACTTGACTAGCTCTATGTGAAAGATCACAAATAAGAGAAATTATAATTTCAATCAGTAAAGTCACAAAGTTACACAAATCATCAAAATACTATCCTCAGCAATCACCATATATTAATATCTTTTAGAAATAGCTCAATGGGATTTTTTTAGCTTGCAGCACTGAGAAATGAATCTGGGAATCATAAGCATCTTTTCAGTTTTCAGCAAATAAAAGCCATTCTGTCCTTTTGGAGCTATCCCCACATGAGAAGGGATTTGGCAAAATAACAAAGCAGCTGAATTTCGGGTGTGGGGAACGACAGGCCCATTTGGCAAAATGTTTAGAAAGTGGATATAGAAAATATAATTCACTTCAAACTCATGCTGAACTCACCCTTTAGTGACAATAACAACCTTAGAAGATTTAAATCCATGAAGTAAGATCTAAGTTTGTATTTTTTGCAAATTTTAAAGATTACTATTCTGATTCAATGTTTCTCAAGTTATTTTAAAATTTACTTGCTTAAGCCCTTCTCCTAAAAAAAAAAAGAAATCTATTCTTCACAATCCCTACCTCCTCAGCATTTGAAATAAGAAGTCTCTTCTATTCCAGGATATTAATAATTTTGCATATTAAAACCATTCCCCAAGTCTCTTAATTTTCTCTTTTCTCTTTCTCTGTGTCTTCCTGGGAAATGTTTAAAAGACAAGAACTAATTCTTAAGCAAACTGTGAAGAGGATTTGATGACACATTGATCTTGCAGTTTTTCTGAGAATACTGTAATTTAAATTTTTTTTTCCCTAAAGATTAGAAAAATCACATGAAAATTAAATAGCTAGGGGATAGCACAAAAACCAATGGCATTGCTTCCAACACCTTCCAGTTCTGTAACTGCAGCATCTTAATTCATAATCCAAAAACTTTATAATGTCCTTTTAATAATGCTGCACTGTTTGGAGCAATGGTTGCCTGGAAATCTGTTTTCCTGCCAGGAAGCAGGGGCAAATGAATGAGTGGATTTTGTTTACATTATTTATAGTATAAATATGGTAAAAAATTCCCTTCTTTATGTCTCATTGCAGTAGATTTCTTTGCCACTCTTTCTGCAGGTGGTGCTAGCTCTGAACAGAGCACGAAAAGCATTGTTTTTCTTGTTATGAAACTGAAACGTGAAGCAATAGATGCATAACAATAATAAGATATTATCATCAAATCACATGTTTTACTACTCTTCTATTCCTGTTACTACCCAGTAAGACTCTTGCTAAACAGAGGAGTTTGGCAAGTGCCAATACTGTGTTACAGTATTAGATGTACAGGCTGGGAGGTGGTGGGAGCTGGGAAAAGTGTTGGGAATGAGGCTCCTACCACAGTCAGCCTCCCTCTAAAACACAGTGCTGAGTGGGCAGGGGGAGCACAATTCTCACTTTCTCCCTCTTCACTTAGTCAGTGTTGTGATGGCCTGCCTGTGCTCTGGCTGGTTCCTGGAGTCTTTTATTTCCATTTTTTTCCACAACCCCGTCTATCTGATTCACCCTTCTGGTTTTCCTCTAGAAACAGATGTAAGAGCACAGAGACCACGAGTGCAGTCTCTTCTTGGGTTTGATAAAAGCACATGTTGACAGAGACTTTTCATTACCCATTCTTGTATTACTCCCTTGTCAGATGTGTAGTGAATTATCTAAGTGGAAAAAAATGGTACTACTGCAGTCAGGTATTGTGATGCAGTTCTATTTATTTATCTTTTTAAAAAGTGAAATGTCCTATTCACGAACCCAAACAATCATTTTCTCCTTGTTCTTCTTAAAGCCTCTTTCCAATATAAATCTCTCTGAAAACATTTGCTTCTTCTCAACTTCTTTTCTTCTCTGTGTGCTTGGGCAATGGGACATTCTTCCAATCTTCTCAACTCCTTTACTTTTCCCCTCAAATACAGCTCTGTCTAAAAACACCTTGCATTTGTCTATTTCTTGTTTGGGTGTACGAAGGAACTTTGTTACTAGTTTGTTTTTTGGGGGGTTTTTTGTTGTTTTGTTTTGTTTTCCTTTTATTTTGTTTGTCTTTGCTTTCTAAACATATACAGAGATTAAATATGGATGTTTCTCTCCAAAAAGTACAAGGATTGGTATACACACCATAACAACTCTTATTCTTTCCTGGGCTCTCATCACCTGAAACAGATGGTACAGGAAAGCTGGGCTCCTGCAGGATGTTTTCCCAGAGGAAAGCATTTGCCTTTAGTGACAGCTGGGCAAATGTCAATTTCTGACTCACAAGACACATATTTCATTTAAAAAAAAAAAAAAGGAAAATCGTATTTGGAGGAAACACAGCTTCTTAGGCTTTCGTGCAGAATAAAAATACTGAAACTTCTGTCCAGAGTTCTAAAATCACTGTCAGACTTTTATAGTCCCACTTGGAGTCTTCCCAGATACATCTGTTGGTATATTCCCATTTATATTCTTACACAGGGAAAAAAACCCCAAACTTACAGAAGGCCTTGAAAACTTCTCACTTATGCTGGAAACAAACAAACAAACAAAAAGCTACTCTGATAAGTAATAAAGAAACAACAAAAATTTCATGTTGAATATGGAAAATATGCTTGAGTTAACAGGAGCTCTCCATACTCCAGAGCCTGTGGATGTTCTGGTCCCAAATCTCTTCTTGCCCCTGTGCATAATATTGGAACATTTAAAAGAAATAGGACTGTCCCAAATAAATTTGAAACTTCTTTAGAAAATCGTTTTGAAGCTGGAATACAGCCTCTTACTCTATGGTTCTATTCTGAAAATGAGGCCAAAATGTACTCCCTACTGTAGTGTATGAATGCATCTAAAATTACTCAAGCATGTTTCAGTACACATAGCTCAGCACATCAGCCCAGGTCCTGCCTATGTGCCAGTTAGAGGCTCGAGTTTTGCAATTACGTCTGTGTGCTTGGAACAAGGGATCTGGCACAGTCTGCTCCCTACTTAGCCCAAATTAACATCACTGAACTCATTTAAGTCATTTTGGTTTCAGACTTGAGAAAGTGGGGACAGAAGTTAGCCTAAAGTGTGATCTGATGCTGAGGCAATTTGATAATGAACGTCTCCTCACTGATGTCCTGATATCTGAAAAAGTAGCTCAAGCTCTGAAGCAGTCTTTGTTCACTAACATACCCTCACCCTCTGCTTCAGCTGGAACATGGTGTGCAGTGCAAACTTGGGCCAAAGAACCCATCTTGATCTAATGAGTTGTTTTATTATTATTTTCTGTTATTATAACAGTATCTTACACAATTGCTGCATGTTATATTAATGCATTACTAGTAATATATTAATATAATCAATATATTAATTTTAAATTTTTAAATAGAAATCCTGTTATGCTATTTGGCCCTGCTACACTGACCAAAGAGATCTATTACCAAAGTCAGGGGAAGTAGGATCACATACTTGGACAAACTGCAATGGTGGTAGAAAAAGCTAGAACTAGAAAAAGTAAATTATCTTTATTTGTACACAAAGCAAGGCTTTAAATCACTTTAACCACAAGTGATGATTAAAATCAGTTTTTAAGGATAAAGTCCAGATGTCTCTGAAGTCATAAGGTCTTATGTTTATTTTTTTCCTTGCTGACTTCAGAAGAGAAAGAAATCCCAAAAAGCAGAAGAGCTTTCAAATAGACAGTAAATGAACTACTGAAGGAACAAGGACTAGACACACATCAAGAGAAATTACTTGAGCCCAGACAGTCTCCATCTAGATTAGAGAAGTGCTCAGCTGAGAAAGCCAAGAATATTAAAGAATGAAGAGATGGACAAAGACCAGACAGATCCTGAAATAAACTGTAATCAGACACATTTGTTATGTTAGAAATGTAGTACAAGATTACCTGGTGTGATTTGCACAGCCTCACTGCAGCTAACTGTGCTGCATGGCTGCATGCAGCAGTAGAGGCTGGTCCAAGTGACTTTACTCAAACTCTTATAATCACATTGGATGTGTAACCTATTCTTTCAGTGCCAGAGTTTCTGTGTAAACACAATATTAAATTTCACAACATAGTCATTTCCAGGCAATCCAGTAAATTAATATTTAATTAAAATACTAGTTTTTATAATAAAGAGTATTTCTAAGCAATAGAAGTTCTTTGATTCAGCTTCTTCTTTAATGATTTTTTTTTGTAATACTAAAGTGGAAGGAAATGAACACTTCACCATTCTCAAGTCTTTATTACAGCAAAGAATCCCTGGGACACAAGGTGCATCCAACATTCAGACCTACTAAACATTTTTTGTGCCAAACAAACGGGTTAGGCCAACTTTGCTTTTTCCTCACTAACAGCTCGAACATCCTGCACTACATTTCACTCTTATGCTTTATTCTCCTTACACTCAAATTCTTTAGGTGGTGGTGTTGTTTTTCTAGGCTGATTAGGACTGGAGGGCTCTACCTTGTTTCTTGATGACTGCATTGACTGGTTCTTCCTACAACACTTCTCTCAAACCTGTGGGGGAAAAGCTAATGTGATAAAACAACAAATGATCACAGCAGAGGATGAGTGACCTTACAGGACGAACTCTGGCTTTTCTGCAAGCTTCAGAGCCTCGTGCATCCCTGCGGCTGAGAGCTTGCGGTTGATGTTCCTGTATCTGCACTGCAGCAGGTTGCGATAGGTCGTCCTCAGGTCCCGGTTGAAGAAGGCATATATAAAAGGGTTAATGAGAGAGTTTGCATAGCCCAGCCATAGAAATGTTCTCTCCACCCACAGTGGGATGCAGCTGCATGCTGTACCACAGATGAAGGGCCTTGCAGTCGAGAGGAGGAAAAAGGGCAGCCAGCAGACTGTGAAAGCCCCAACAATAATCCCAAGGGTGGTGGCAGCTTTCTGTTCTCTTTTAAAAATGGAAATGTTTTTCTTGTCATGCTTTAGGAGTCGTGAAAAGTTAGTACATTCTTCAGATTCCTTGTGCAGTTTTACAAGTCCATTCACAGAAATCCCTTCCATTTCTTCCAGACGGGGAAAACCAGTAAACTTGTGTTTAGCAGCACTCCTCCTGGCAGCTTTATAAATCTGATAGTACATGAAAAGCATCACTGACATTGGAATATAAAATGCAACTGCAGTGGAGTAAATGGTGTAGCCAAAGTCTTGACTGATGAGACAAACCTTTTCATCATTGACATTCTGTGCCCAGCCGAAGAGCGGGGGTATGGTGATAGAGGCAGATAAGAGCCACACACACAGGATCATTTTGGCCATACACTTCCCATTCTGCCTTACAGGGTAGGTGAGAGGTCTGGTTATTCCCAGGTACCTGGAATGATAACACAGAGTTACTACAGAGGGCGGGGGTTAACTGTTAACAGTTATGTCATGCAGTGTCATGCCATAGACCAAAATCGTCGGCCAAATTCTCTGTTTCATAATTTTCAACCCTCTCTCTGCATGTACTTCCAGCTTGTAAATTCATGTGTCTTTCATGCTAAAATTTATAGTGTTAGTATTCTATATAAAAGGTCTTTTATTCAAGAAGGAAATCTCCCATTGCCCATAACAGGCTGTGATTTCTATGCATTTGTTCAATCTTCACGCACACAAAGCATATTTTGGCTTTTAACCTAAATTTTATTTTGAAACCTAAATTTTATTTTGCTACCTTAGGAAATCTTGGAGTATAGAAGAATGCTCATTCCACAAAGTCTATCACTTTTTGTATTGAGTGGATGATTGTAACAAGCAAGCATTTATCTTCACTCTTTTGTATTCAACAATTAGGAAGAGCCCTGCCACTAAGTTGATGGGTTGTCTTTCTTTCCTTCATGTTTCAGGCAGGAGCAACAAACTGTGAACTTATACCAAGAATAAACTATTTCAGTATTAAAATACTTCTCTTTATCATCACTTAATTTGAAAGAAAATACATTTTTTCAATGTCCAAACTTTTACTGAACAAAATAAAAATCTGTCCCGCTTCAAGAAGGCCTGAGGAAGAAAACACAGTTTTACAGACAAAAAAATGTTTATAATGGGTCGATTTTTCATAGAAAGAAAAATTAGATCTGTTGACAACTTTTATATTTCCTAATTTGTGGTATTTTAAACTAAGTATCTTTTTCTAATTGCTATTTTTATGGCTCTATATAGCTGGGTGAGAATATCCTAAGTCTGAATTTAATTTCAACTATGGGAAATTTCTGTATTTCCTCTCTAAGAATGGGAATTTTCTCTTAGATGGAATCAGATGCCTTTATTTAGACCTGAGATTTTTAGTTTCAATTTTGGCTTCTGCTTAACTGGAAATTACCTATGAGTTACTGTTAACTTCTCAAATTGTTCTTTCCTCCAAAAGAATTTAGAAAAAATAAGTGTGATTTGTTTTTCACTTGTAGAAGAAATTATTTCAAATTAAGTTTCTGAATAATGTTTTGGTTTCAAGAGCTACCAGTGTTTACTCCTATAGTGAAGGTTCTGGAGCATTACTAACATGAATTATAGCAATATCATGAAAAATAGTTTTGAGGAGCATGTTTTCTCTGTCTATTCACTTAGCACATCAAATATGGGATTTGCCTGGCTCTGTGGAATGCTGCATTGTTGATTTTATTGCAGTGCAGTAAATCATGGCCAGTGCTCTTGCTTTATACAAGCACCCAGGTATGCTACAGTTATAGAAGTAAAAGAAACATCATTTAATGATCTACTCTCATGAGTATCAACAATCCTGTTAAACCATGTCATTGGTTTTTTTATTGCTGTTATGAAAAGTGTTACACAAAGGACAGACTGGTTTATTGTGCCTATTCTTGACAGGATGCACAAGTAAATTCCAGCAGGTCAGTATTTTGCCAGTGAATCTGTGCCTGGAGGAGCCATGAAGGAAGAATTCTTACTGGAATTGTCTGGGATCAGAGCAGTGCAATCCATGGACTGTGCTGTTACAAAGGGCTGCTTCCTGTGCCACTCACCATCAGCATTAGAATACAGTCACTGGCCCAGCAGCCATGGCCATCAAGCTCCAGACCATGGAAATTTCTGTTTTATAGCACCATGGCCAAAACCCAAGGAGCCAAGGGTTTTCCAAGGTGCTCCAAGACATGGAAGAGTTAGTGCAGTGAAATTTCAGTTTAACTAATTAAAGTATACATCACACTGCTTTAAGGAATGCAACTGCAGCAAGGGTGAGCTCTCAGCTTCACACTTTTGGGGACAAGAGTGGCCTATCCTTAAAATTTGTCTAAGAATAGCCCAGTTTAGGTACAAAACAGTTAAATACATCCTTCGTGCACAAAGACTTCTTGTCACTTACAGTGTGCTGTTTTTAAAGAAATCCTTATCTGCCTTCCTGAAGTATGCACTTCTAGAGCTATTACCCAACTGGTCACTAAAAATAACACACTTTGGAGGTGAACTTTATTATGTAGCTAAAAACGTTAAGCTGGATTTCTGTAAAAATCAGATCTGTGGGCTGCATATTCTAAGTGCCTACTGATGCATTCTCATGCACCAGAATATAACAAAAAGAATTCATGAAAGCTTAAGTATACTGAAAAGAATGAAAATTCATTAGTTTTGCCCTAGCATCACTTTTTTGGGAGTGTTTCTTTTCTTCAGAAATGCTATTTGAAATTAAAATATGCTAATTAACATAAAAATACACCAACATCCTTTCTGCCTTATTCATTTTGCTAAATGTAGTATGATAGGGGGAAAGAAGTCAGCAGGCACAAATGAAGGAATGTTGTTTTAATCTCTCTATATGAAATCCATTACCCTTGAAAATTCACTTGCAACGTCAAAATAATGTAAATCACTCCTGTTGCCTAATACACTAGAGAGTGTTCAGGGTTTAATAGATTCATGAGCTTCAAAAATACTGTGTCAAATTCAGTGGGAAAATATGGTTTGTAATGCTTAATCTTAAACTAGTACTTGAACAAAAAATACTTAAGGTAAATCAGCTGAACTTAACATATTCAAGTGTAAGTAACACCTTGAGGTCTTATTACTGGAAAAGAATGAAGTGTGAGTCCCTAAAAAACCCATTTCATGAGCCTGAGCTATCCCCCACATGAAAGAAGTGTCTCAGACTTGATATTCTGAGATTTATTTCTTTCACATGCCACAGATGTTCATTTTGATCCTGGTGGAGAAGCAAGTGTGCCTCAGTTCTCACATTTAAAAGAAGGGCAATGCTATTTTGTATTCTTCCTGCTCTGAATCTCTTGACTGGTTCTGCCAGACAGAGCATCTCTCCACGTTACACCCAGCACAGTGGGGTCTGTATCCAGGTTACTCCCCAAAAGCAGATTCATGGCCTTCATTTCTACTAAACTGGTCACAGCATTTTCCATTTAGCATTTTCAGCCTGGTGCTGTGTGCAGAAGACTGAAGTGCAGGAGGCTGTACCAGTTGGGCAGCCCTACGAGGGGCACTACACACACAGCACTCATGTCCTGCTGCCATTCCAAGGGTGCTGGGTGAGTGCAAAACACTGAGAAGGAAGAATATAGCACTACTGTTTAATGGATACAGCAAAAAAGGATGATGTGAACACTTCTCTACAGCATCACATATGTAGAAAACAGACCCTTGCTTGGAGAGCTCAAAGTAAACAGCAGAGACCAAAAAGATGGCAAATAGTGAAGGGCAGTGTAATCTTCTTGTTAAATGTATGTGTATAAACACATGAGCACATCCCTATTCTGGGTTGGTTTCTCATGATTTCTTCAGGGTTTCTTCTTCTCACTGGTTCTTCTGCTGCAGTCCCATTCAGGTGTGAGGCACACAGTGTGCGCCCCAGCTCTGGGGAGGAAAAATTACCCCATCCTCTTTCTGGAGCTCTGTTCAAACCTGGGAGGGGGTAAAGAATTCCCTCCTTTCACCAGCCATTGTACATAATTGCCATTTGCCACAATCTGATTCCCTATGGCATAGAATTCTTCCCTGGTATCTCCAAATGGTTAGCATTTAATGACAAGAAATTGTCATAGAAAATTTAATGTAAAACCATTATAACTATATAGGTCTGGTCCTGAGATTATTCAGTTTGTGGGCTTTTGCATTCTGGCTTTTCTGTTATGAACTCATTACAATGGCCACAAGAATAGTTTTCATTCTACAGGTCTATAAAAATCTCTATTATTACTTTAACTGTAGATCAGATAGGCAGATGGGTCTAGTCTTAACACATTTTGAAATATCCAGCAAACAACCTGAGATCTAACAGCTACGTTGACTTAAACAATAGAAAGAAAATAGAAAATTTGTGATCATGTGTCCTAAATCTTTCATTCCTACCTCCATTATATGTCTAAAAGATAAAAAGTCAAAGAGCAAGAGAAAAGCTTGCAGTTAAAAGAATTAAAATAATTTTGAAGCTTCCTGCCCAATTCAGTAATAAATTGAATGCATCATGACATCAGCAGCACTTATACAACTGTTGTACCACACGTGTAATTCCTTTGTCTCTGGTCTCCATGCACTTTATAGGCAGATAGAATTCCATTATAGTTAGTTCACCTTTATGTCTCAGAATTCACTGACTCGATCCAACACATTCCAGAATCAAACCAGATCTTTCACTGCCTGACAATGCTTCCATGAAGCAGATTGGATTGCTATGGAATAAGACTAGAGACATTATACTGGAAATGATACATTTGTGTATTACAGCTATTGCTACCAGGAATTGCAACATAATATTGTTTTGTTACCACCTGCCATTTGATTAGGAGCTGTGCTTAATATGAGGTTCTCTCAGTTCTCCCACTGTTTTATTTTAATGGTCATAAAACTGCTTTGTTCCAAAGACACAACAATGCTTCTTCCTTTGCTTCTCTGTTTCTCTAGCACAGAAGCTTTCCGTCTTCAATGTGTATCTCCATGCAGGATTTCTGTGCAAACCCGCATCTGTAGAATCCCATCCTGTATTTCATCTGCAATAATAACTTATTCTGAAGAATTATGCTGATCTACTGGCTTTTCTTCATTGTTTTCTTCATGGTTGTGATTCTCTCATCGTCTCTCATAATTTTTTTCAATTTGGTTCAGCTCAGCATTAAGAGACACTTCAGAAGAATAGGAGCAAAATGCCATTCCTAAAATCTATCCAGCATCCAAAAACATTCTCCCTAGTGTAGTAATGCATCTAGATAACTTTTTTCCTTTCCTTCAAATGTGAATGTAACAAGTTGAAACAAATACCAAATCTATTCTTTCTGTTATGGCTATGTTAGAACATCTAGCAAATACTGTTTTCTTTTCAAAAATGATGTGTTTACACAATGTAAGAGATGCTCTGTCCCTCAGACTTCC